TTCTTGTGTTTTTGAAGTCTATTAAAAAAGGTTTGAATGCGTCATTGTTAAAAAAAAAAAACACTTGAGTTTTTTTCATGCTGGCCATATCTGCAATACCTGTGTGTGAAATGCTCTCTTGAAGTCCTAGCCCTGCCCCCCTGAAAACCCCAGTGTGCTGTGATTGGTCAATTTGATAACTCACTTGTGATTGGTCAACCGTTTTGCGCGCTGGAAATGTCACGCCAATTACCATAAATGGATTTCCGCTCCAGACTGTAAACGAACTTTAGAAACAAATACTGGTGTAGCCTTGTGGGTGTAACTTGCATGATTCAAGGATGTGCCAAAATATCTGCTTAGTGCAAATATTCAATTGGTGACATCAGCAATTGATGAAAAAAATGGCCAGAAGCTATCGGGGCATTTCAGTTAACTCTGGAGCAGTGTGTTTCGTGGCAGAGATAGCTTCGTCTGGAGATGACTTAGAATTGTTTTTCGACACAGACCTTTTAAGTGCACATAAAAATGACATGATTCACACAACGACATTAAAATAATGGAAAACCTAGCAAGCTACACTCTAAGGCGTACCGGAATGAGGTGCCAAAATCTGTGTTGTAATTTTGTGTGGTACAGACGGATCGTATAGGAACCAGTGCTAAATTGGAAATGGGTTTCATTACCAAATTCCCTATTTAACACGAGACTTGACTAGTTTAGTGTCGCTAGCCAAGGGAAGGCACACAATGGGTCTCATTCATGAAACATTAGTAAATTTGTGCGTAGATTTGCACATAAAAGCCTACGCTACTAAATACCTACTCCGGATTCATGAACACCGCGGGAAACTCAGATCTGATCGTAAACACGTGTGTATGATCATGAATGCCAATCCATCGTAAAGTGACAGCGTGCTCCCGGTAATCAGCTATTAGCATAAATCCCCGCCCATGAATTGCCAATGACCACCATATAAGGAGGTATAGATACATCCAGTCGTCCTGTCAGTCATGGCACAAAGAAAAAAAGAGAGAGAAAGAAAAAAGGAATTTTCTGAAGCGGAGATAGAAATAATTTTGGGTGAAGTGGAGTTAAGAAAAAACATTTTATTTTCATCTGTTGGCAGTGGTGTGACAGCGACAGGCAAAGCGAAGGCCTGGAGGGAGGTGACAGATGCCGTTAATGTTGTCTCTGTAGTCCAAAGAACCATGTCCGAGGTGAAGCGTAAATGGTTTGACACGAAACTGGAGGCAAAGAAACGCATAAACGCACACAAAAAAAAATGCATCAGCCACAGGAGGAGGAGGCTCACAGTCACAACTATCAACTGCAGACGAGCGCATCGCTGGCATAATTGGGGAGACCTCTCTGTCAGGAATTATACCTGACGGAGACAGCAACATGCCTCCACTTTTATTTTTTTAATATCATCATTCAACATGTAGAAAGAACGTAATCTGTTGAGTCGATTCACATTGATAATTCTCAATCATGAACCTAATCTGGATCTTAAACCTGCCAACTGCCAAGTAATTTAACTAAATGTGTTATATTTTTAATCGTTTGTCATGTTTAGGCTATATCACGTGTTTCAAAGGCATCTGCGTATTGTATACATAACAGAGCGCAATATGAATTAAGATTGTAATTTCCAATAGAGACAAGCATTATTTATGTGCATTCTTAAATTTACACAAGCACTATGCGTCGTCAGCAGCATGTGTAGATTTTGTTAGTAGCTACAAAAAGATCGGAGCTACTAAAATATTGATGAATGCGGAGATGCATGTAAATTTCCATCTGTGAACAGTTTACACACAAATTCATTCTGCTCACGTTTCATGAATGAGACCCAATATGTTTACTTCTTAACTTATTCTCTGCTCATATCACACTAATGTAATTTGGGACTCGTATACGTAGATATTTACACAACTTGTTTTCCTGGTTCAACATGAGAGGATGTTTGTGTTCCAGCTTCAGCCATTTTACTGATAGGAAAAAAAATCTGTGCATATTCATTTTCACACTCTGATTGTGTGAGAACAGCATCTGACATCGTAACCCCACAAAGACATGTCAGCCTATACGAGTATTTGGATGCATTTTCCTGTAATTAACCCTCTCTGATTGGTCTTTCTTACTTCCATTCATTTAAGATAAAAAAATGCAACACTGCCATCTTGTCCTACTGATGTTCAGTTATGTCATGACCAACTGCTGAAAGTGATGAATTATGTGGGACTGAAGAAAAAATCTACGGGGCTACAGCCTCAAATGCCCTGGCCAGGAAACACCACTGTTTTTCATTGAACTTCTAGTCATCATAAAACAGTTACATTCACCACTGTGACTACTACTAGTGATTTTCTCCTTGTTATTGATGGATTACATTCATTTGTCAATGACGATCTTGATGGACACCAGCGGGAGCCCTGGCTGTATCAACAAAGAGTTGTTTTTGTAGTGTTTTTAAAACACAACAGTCGTGTTTGTTTGATTATGTAGTAGAGAATTTGTTGTGTTGGTGGATGAGTCTCTTCACAGATCATTAAATCGGGGTGTGTTCGGCTGTTGGGTATCAGAGCAGTCCCTGGAAAGCAGACACTTCGGGTCTTCTGTTAGAGCTTTTGCCTCAACAGAGCTATGGGACATTTGACGCGAATAAAGCTTGCTCTTAAATGACGGATTCCATGAGTTTCGATCCAGATATTTAAGTATTTGTAATTCAGTTCAGCTTTGTCTTAAAATTTTTACCTCAGTGGCAGCTCTTTGGTTGGCAGTGCACTTCAGACAAAAGTTGTCTTTCACTATAATATTCGCAGCTTTAACTGAGGAGAAATGCACTGAAATTGATGTTTTGTTGGGCACTGCTGATAACTTTTTCAAGTTGCTTTAATGGTCAAGTTTCCTGTTAGTATATCTTCTAAATATCATCTGGTAGGTTAGGGAGGAAAATTCAATGCATTATCAGTGCTTTTCCCATGTTGAATGATTTGCTGAACCAAGATAATAATTCAGTCTATCTAATTCGGTGAATCCCTCTCTAAATGGGATATGTTGTCATCAGGACTCACAGACACAGGTGACTCTTGGATAGAAAAATTCTGCTCAATACAATTGAAATTCTTTATTGCACTTTTTATGAGACACTGTTGCTAGGACACAGGGGAAATACTAAATGAATTGTCCCAAAAACCTGGCCCCAGAGCCCGGGGTGTGATCATGACTTTTCTCCATTGTCAATAAAACAAAACAAATATATAATGGCTGACTTACTCCTTTTGCATCTTGACTGAATCAGTGTTTGTGATCTGAAGTCACCTGCCTGCCTCTCTTCTGTCTCCCAGGTGATGATCTACGAGCTGGCTGACTTTGTGCAGGGCTTCCTAAGTGAGCACAATGTGCCGCCACCACGCTCCTTCCACGAGGAGATGCTGAAGAACCAGCGGCGTCAGCAGGAAAAGCTAGCCCAGGAGCAGCAGCAAAAGATAGACCAGCAGCGCAAGCAGGAGGAGCAGATGGTGGGACCTCGACACCCTCCGATAGCAATTTGCTTCCCTGCCTCATTAGCACTAAACTCTTGCCTTACTGGTGTACTAACCCTGCATTCACACCAGAAGCAACAAATTGACGCTGGTTGTCCCGGTTGCTTGAGGCACATCACCTGCTATTGCTAGCTGTCATTTGGGGCTGGGGTGGTCAAGCGGTGCTGCAAACCTCAAGTTTGCATCATTAAGTATACAAAAGTGGTGTCTCAATATTCTGGATGTGCACACTGCCATCTTGTGCTAGTGATGTCATTTGGAGCCAGTGTCTGTGCAGTATTGATCGTAGGGTTGATCTGTGGCATTGAGGTTCCAGCCATAAACCTACCTGACTTAACTGCTGACACACCTTCCTGAATTGACGTAGTGTGGCTGCTCCAGTGATAATGGTCACTGCTGCTGATTGTATACAGAGAATGCAAAGTCTACATCAAAGAAGGTTCTACTTCAACTGAAGGCTTGTTAAAGGGCTAACTAGTTCCGATTTTTTTTTCAAGTAGGGTTATATGAAATACTTATCTGTTGTCACTGTATTTCCTACAGTCGATAACAGTCGAAACGCCCCCGGCAGCTAAACGTATTTTAGCCAGCGACAAAAGGCACACAGAAAAAAAATCTTAGTTTAACTGTATGCCATATTTGGAATATTTTTACTGTTTTAGTTTGCAGTCAGACAGTTCTTTCCTTTGGCACCAACGTTACATTTTCTGAAACATAACTTCAAACTTCATTATTACAGTACAGTTGAGAAAATGTTGTGCCAAAGGAAAGAGTTGTCTGGCTATAAGATAAAGTGGAGAAAATATCTTAAATGTAATTTACACTTAAGCAGATATTGTTTTTTTTTTGTGTTTTTTGTAGATGGGCCTTTTTTAGGTGGCTAGAATACATTTGCTGCTTTCCCTGTTCATAGCAGCGCATGGGTTAGCTTTCGTGCTAATGTCCAGTACTCCTGCCTGCCTACATCAAAAATGTAAACCAACACTAGAAAGTAAGGTAAATTCAGTCTGTCGGCTTTATTTTTGTGCCTTTGCGAACGGAAACACGTGGCAGTAATGTTATTCACAGTTTCATTAGTTGCAAATGGCATATTTATCACCTTCGCCCTGGTCAGTATTTTCCTGCTTTGCCATAAAGGGATTTGCGACACAGTGGTTTGTACTCTTTACTGGGGTGTGTCAGTGAATAAAGCTGGCATTGCACAATTTTTGTGTCAAAGACCTCGCTTTGACTCAACCAGACCACCTTTTGTCGCAAATGCTTGTTATTCTACAGTAATTTCACTGGACTGAATCGAAGTCAGCAGAGCTGTTTGCAAATAAAACCTTATTGTTTCCTTCCAATTATCATTGCGGTTATATACCCCTATACATAATGCCTACAAAATGGTGCCGGGATCTAATGGAAAGGGGAAGGTGAAAAGGTATTGCTATACATTGCTATACAACTTCATTCTCACCCTTACAGGGTGGCTCGGTGGTGCAGTGGTTAGCATTGTCGCCTCACAGTAAGAAGTTTGTGGGTTCGAAACTGGTCTGGGGCCTTTCTGTGTGGAGTTTGGATGTTCTCCCCAAGTTCACGTGGATTTCCTCCGGCTTCCTCCCATAGTCTGAAGGGGTCATTCTTTGTCAACTCAACCAGAGCCCCCCACATCAAAATTTTGATTTTGATAAAACTTTGCACATTTCAAGAAATATGCATTTGCAGTACTGAGGTCAAATATTTCAGCTCAATTATCGCTAGTTCCTGAAATTTAGCTTCTTTTAGGGGGGGGGGTCAGTTTTAAGAAAATCGCCTTAATTTTGGAGTAAGTTTGAGGGCCTGAGATATGCATTTGCAGAGCAAACAGACCCATAAGTTTCATTTTGTCATCAGAAAAGTTGCTGAACTCTTGGCTTAACCTACTTTTCTTTACTCAGATTGTTTAGTTTACCTGTACTGTGGCCTGGAAAAAGCAAAAAACACCAATCATACTAATATTTTCAAAGTTTAATGCATTTATTATTCTGTAACTAATTAAGATAGAGCCCTGAGACTTGGTATGCAAACTGTTGGTCAACTTTCTGAAGACCACAAAAAATATCAAAGTCACACTGGTTGTATTAAATGTTTTAATGACCTTGGAAGTTGGCTTCAGAATGAAAAGTGCGTATTTTGGGTCATGATTGTGGGTATATATCTCAAAAGGGACACAACTGATTTTTAGTGCTTGAAGGCATGGGTCTTGGGTCTAACATGTTAAAAACCTGGAGATGTAAAACTCTTCCTTTAGACTGTACAGCATGCCAATCATATTAGGTGTCTAACTTAATTTTCGGAGCACCTTAGCCATGGTGTAAGTATAAAGATGAATGTGACACATACACTTGTTCACCTCGGCCAAGGAGGTGTATGTTTTCGCTGGTGTTGGTTGGTTTGTCTGTCTGTCTGTCTGTTAGCAGGATATCTCAAAAACAGCCGCATAGATTTTAACCAAACTTTGCAGGATGTTAGAGGAGCACAAGAGGTACAAGTGATTAAATTTTGGCTTATCTAAGGCCAAGGTACAACTGAGATATAGGCCAAAGTTCAAATCCAGCTATGCTGGCAGAGATTTCAAGTCGTTCCAATGGCCCGGATTTCCAATCGGCGTGCTTTTGGGTTTTGCTGCCACCTGGCGGTGGAATGCAACAATACCCTACATCAGCCAACGAAAATAACTAATGCACTGAGTTGCCTTGGCGTGGCGGAGGTGCTGTGCTCTCTGCTCGTTTCATAATGAAATATGACATATAAAGAAACATCAGAATAACTACTGAATGATTGAAAACAGGTTGTGACCAATCATTAATTTTGAGGAATAGTTTTGAGCTTCCCCAGTTGTTAGTTCATGAGCTGCCGCTGCTATCTATACATAGGGCCATGGGGCGGAAAAACCCAAAATTTCAGACATGGGATTATCAGAGGTTTCAGTTTATATGTTGCTAAATATAGAAGCAAGGAATTCCAAAGTTCCATTTATAACCCTGGAAAGGTCTTGTGTATTAAAATCATTGGAAAATTCTTTTTACACAGTAATTATTACCATGGTTACTCTGTCATCTTTTCAGAAAATATGATTTTTCCAGCTTCCCTTTATTACACTATAATAAATCTGATAGCAGCACTGGTATATAATGACAATTCTTTTGTATGTCAAATACTGTGCTGGTAAGAGTAGATAATGATGTAACAGTGCTCTGTGAATAAAACAGTGTGATCATTAAAATTTATTGGTGTGCTCTTCAGTCACAAATCATGGTATCTAGGCTTAAACGAATGCCAAACCACTATTATGATGGGCGTTATGTAAAATCAAAAAGAACAGATTTACATCTCCAGTTTTTACCCCTCGGCCGACTCCGGCCCGGAGGGGTATTGTCGTCACCTGCGTGTCCGTCTGTCGTCCGTTGTCCGTCATCTGTCGTCCGTCGTCCGTCGTCTGTCGTCCGTCGTCCGTCCATGATTTTGTCCGGGCCAGTACTCGGCAGCTAATGATCGCAGCTTCACCAAATTTGGTATGGTAACTCACTATGACCCATAGATGTGCAACGTCAGGTTTCTTGCTGAATTTGACCTTTGACCTTAGCGCTGTGACCTTGAGCCTGGAAATCTTGTCCGGGTCAGTACTGGGCAACTAATTATCGCAGCTTCACCAAATTTGGTATGGTAACTCACTATGACCCATAGATGTGCAACGTTGGGTTTCTTGCTGGATTTCACCGTTGACCTTAGCGCTGTGACCTTGACCCTGGAAATCTTGTCCGGATGGCACTTTCCGGGCCAGTACTCAGCAACTAATGATCGTAGCTTCACCAAATTTGGTATGGTAACTCACTATGACCCATAGATGTGCAGTGTCACATTTTTTGCTGGATTTGACCTTTCACCTTAGTGCTGTGACCTTGACCCTGGAAATCTTGCCCGGGTCAGTACTTGGCAACTAATCATCACAGCTTCACCAAATTTGGTATGTTAATTCACTATGACCCATAGATGTGCATCGTCAGGTTTTTTGCTGGATTTGACCTTTGACCTTAGCTCTGTGACCTTGACCCTGGAAATCTTGTCCGGGTCAGTACTCGGCAACTAATTCTTGCAGCTTCACCAAATTTGGTATGGTAACTCACTATGACCCATAGATGTGCAACGTTAGGGATTTTGCTGTATTTGACCTTTGACCTTAGGTCTGTGACCTTGACTGTGGAAATCTTGTCCGGGTCAGTACTCAGCAACTAATTCTCGCAGCTTCACCAAATTTGGTATGGTAACTCTCTATCACACACATATGTGCAATGTTTTTTGCTGGATTTCACCTTTGACCTTTGTGCTGTGACCTTGAGGCAGGAAATCTTTTATGGGTCAGTACTCAGCAACTACTGATCGCAGCTTCACCAAATTTGGTATGGTAACTCACTGTGACACATAGATGTGCAACGTCACCTTTTTTGTTGGATTTGACCTTTGACCTTAACACTGTGACGTTGAGGCAGGAAATCGTGTCCGGACCGAGGGGTATTCAGCAACGCGTTATGTTTTAATATGTTAGACCCAAGACCTATGCCTTCAAGCACTAAAAATATGACATTGATCACTTCTGTCCCTTTTGAGATATATACCCACTATAATGACCCAAAATACGCACTTTTCATTCTGAAGCCAAATTCCAAGGTTATTAAAACATTTAATACAACCATTGTGACTTTGATATTTTTTGTGGTCTTCAGAAAGTTGACTGACAGTTTGCATACCAAGTCTCAGGGCTCTATCTTAATTAGTTACAGAATAATAAATACATTAAATTTTGAAAAAATTAGTATGATTGGTGTTTTTTGCTTTTTCCAGGCCACAGTACAGGTAAACTAAACACACTGAGTAAAGAAAAGTAGCTTAAGCCAAGAGTTCAGCAACTTTTCTGATGACAAAATGAAACTTATGGGTCTGTTTGCTCTGCAAATGCATATCTCAGGCCCTCAAACTTACTCCAAAATTAAGGCGATTTTCTTAAAACTGACCCCCCCCTCCCTAAAAGAAGCTAAATCTCAGGAACTGGCAATAATTGAGCTTCATTATTTCACCATTTCACACCAGATATATAAATCTTCCATTGTGGGGAATATAATAAAAAAATTTTTTTGGGGAAGTTCTAAAATTTGGTTGATTTGACATGGAATGACCCAAAGACATGCATATCAGGCTAATTGGAGACTCTAAATTGCCCATAGGTATGAGTGTGAGAGTGAATGGTCTGTGAATGGTGTGTGCGCCCTGCGATGGATTGCGAGCTGTCCAGGGTGGGTCCCTGCCCTTGCCCGTAGTCAGCTGGGATAGGCTCTAGCTCCCCCTGCAACCCTAGTGAAGAATAAGCAGGTATAGAGAATGGATGGATTAGTAACCTTTGCATTGAATTGCAGTTTTTAAGTGTCATTCCAATTTCACATTTCCATTCTGTATTCCATCCAGTATTTGCGCAATGGCTTTCTGTTATCTTTTGTTTCTTTTGGTATGGCTGAGAAGATCAGCTGAGTGGCCACCAATCAGCTAGCAAGGCGGTCGGTTGACTGGGAAACTGCTTCTTCCTGCAAAGTAAGGAGAAGCTTTAAAAAAGGGGAAAATAATGGGTGAGAAACGTGTAAAAAACTGGGAGCTGCGAATGACCTGCACACTACAACATTTTAAGGAAGTTTTGTTAAATAAAATGCTACGGTCAAATTGGCATAATGATATGCGCTAAAGATCGGATTTATCATGTAATACTCACCATTTTTTGAGAGAACAGAAGTTGTGCGCCTCTACATCCTGGAAGATTTGTTTTGTTTTTTTTTAGCCTTTTTATTACTGTTTTTTTATCATCATCTAGGCCTTTTTATATTTTTTTCATCTGGTTGAAGAACTTTTTCTTTTTGTTTTTGATTTCATGTGGGTTGTTGTTGCTTCTCCAATCGGATTATTGACTGCTCTTTTTTGTGCCAGTATTGAGAATCTTTTCTGTTGGACGGCGGAGACAATTGGCTCTATTGTACGTGACATGAGATTGAATGCACAGACGCTTATCAATCTTTTTTTTTATTTTGGCAAATGGTTCAGAACTAAATGTAATGAGGGTTTTGTGTTGGGTTTTGGTTTTTCTCTATCAAATATACAGGGCTTGAAAACATTCCTTTTTTTCTGTAATTTATTTTCCCATGTTTGCTTTTTATTGATGTGGGGCAAGATAAAATTAATTGGTAATGATCGTCAAGCGTACCTATATATGCCATTACACATTTTCATGATTGTTACTGTTGTATTCAAAAAAATAGCAGTGCAACATCAATAACCTACGTCAATAATATTACTATAATAGATAGTAAGAACTCAAATAGATACAATCTTTGTGAAAAATGAATTTGGCTTGTACTTCGATTTTTAAAATTTATTTATTTAGTTTGTTTTTTTTTAATTTTTTATGTGCCATCTGATAACATGGAGGGGGCAGGGTTTATAACCAATACTGCAGCCAGCCACCAGGGGGTGATCTGGATG